CTTCTGTCATTTATTCAGCTTCAAAAATAAACAGACACCAATAAAAAAGTTATATCTTGGACCTACGTCATCTCAAAATCGAAGCAGTTATTGCATTCAAATTTTAGATGACTCGGATAAAATTAATTCGTTAAATATTATATCACCATCTGCTGCGGATTCCAACCTATAATATAGTTTTCTAACTTTAACGCACCTGATTGTAGAGAGGGTATACTTTTTTTTTTTTGTTGAGTCAGTCAGTAGTTAGGTAAATGAACTAGTCTTCAATTGTGTGCCTCGGATTTTTTGAATTGATTGTCTTATGTTTTTTTAAAATTATATATACATAATAGGAAATATATATAAATATGGAATAAGAAATTAAGCGTTTTCACGTCATTCGGAATAGTATTATATAGCGAGAATACGGATCCCCTTAACATAAAGTGAAATGAAAATAGTATTGCGTTTGCATAGACTAAGGCAAGCTTTTTGTGATAAATTTCAAGTAATTGCCTGTTTCTGTGTTCTCTTTTGCCATCTTTATCTACAACTTTTCTAGATTTTGCTGCTGAGTTTGTCCGAGGACTTCTCCCATAGTCCAAATTTTGCCTTAAAAATTTGATATGAACCATCGTTTAGCTTTTAATCTAAATTTACGTTTTTTTTACAGAAATTTATAAAAAGATAAATAAATGAATGGACGGATTTACCAACAGACATTAGTATAAAAGTAAACTTTTACTCTATAGGTTAACTGACGCGTGTCTTTTGATATATTGTAAACCAATTGATAAATTTAATATAGGGTTGTCCCTTTTGTAATTCCGAAGCACGCATTTTTCTATCGATATATAGTTCGAACCTTGCCATTACTTATGGATAACATACATACATAAATAGTTGCACTGCGTAAGAAAATTGTTAAAACTTATGATAAAGACAATAAATGTGTATTTATACATGGCTACGTATCATGCATGTGGAATGAAGCTCATATTTGGTTAAACGATTTCTTAAATAAGGCTTATTGTCCTCTTGATGTAAAAAACTTTGGGCTGAAATGTCATTTTGTGACATGAAAATGGCATTGTCGCCGCCGTTAACGGAGCACGCTAAAGAAATATGATAACTGTTTTTGTTTTTGTCGATGCGATGATATTATTCATTATTCTTATATTTAAATTTGCTTTGAAGATATTGCAATTTTGAAAAGTACTCTTTAGTTGTTATAGATATAATAATTCAGTCATACATTTTATCTCCAGCAACTTATAAAAAATTTATATCGGATTTATAGCAATTTGCAATAACTTTATAGTAAATTTATAGCAAATACGTAGCAAATGCATTATACTTTGTGACGCTTTTTAGTAAATGTAAGATACTTTGTAGCATATTTTTTGGGAACAAATGCATTAAAATTGATAGCATATTTTAGCGTAAATGTTAAAAAAATGTCTTGAATCGAAAATAAGGAGAACTTGTCGCGTAAACATTGCGTGTACCATGAAATCATCAAAATTATTTTTTTTATGAGTTGGTTGCGCTGTTTTTGACATTTATATTATATATAATTGCATGATAATATATTCAATTTCTACCGTGTTGGGTGTGTTTTTGTATAGGTATAAAATGAGACTTGCATCTGTACATGCGACCCCGAAACAAGCAATCAATCGCATGAATATCGTGTCAAAGCCGTAAGCAACCGTAAGCGAAAAAATTAGCTCAACATCATTTGGAAGTCAATCCAAGCAAAGTATTATTTTCGTGAATCTAAAGCGGCTTGATTCAATACAAGTCTACATCTATACGTACCGTTTTAAATTAGCATAACGTTCATAATGTTTGAATTTTGCTTTTACTAAAATGAAATATTATTAAAACACTGGCGAAGGTTTCTAAAATGAGGGCCTTGTTTCAAGAAGGCTTAAATTTAAAAATCATATTTTATTTTTACTGGTGGCGAAGAACTTTATTATTCGAAAGAAATTTCCTCTTTCTTCAAGCGCTTCGAAAACATATAATAGTATCTGCACTGGGAAGTTACTGACTTATCTGTTGATTGTCAACTTCTCTCATTCACTAACAAGAAGAGCGTCTGAAGGTGTTCTTCGTTTGCGTGGTCTTACAATACGTGTCCTTCGACCGATTTGATCGATTTACCACAATACCATCCTGCGTTTAAGAAATTGCAAGCGATAGCTCCATTTTTGCGGCTAAGAAGAGATTTAGAACAAGCAGTACACGGGCGGACATACAGACGTGCTTAAGTCGATTCAGAATTTGACGCTGCTCAGAAGTATACATACTATGTGGGGTCTCTGAAGCTTACTTGTGTGTGTTGCAAACGTTTTAACTAAAATCGCCCATTCTTCGGTGATGGGTATAAGTAAAATATTTACATGTAAAAAATATGTTTCGAAACTATAAACGTTTCTCCCGATATTTTAAAATCGCGCCTTCCTACAATCATTCAGTATAGTAGAATACAATTCCACCAGTGATCGAATCATTGTCAATAGGATTTGTCTTTGGGCCAATATGTGTTAGTTAACCAAATTGTGTCAATATATCTCAAAAATTGCAGTCTCGAGGTTGAACACAAGGAAACAAAGCGGGCAGACATACTCAGGTCGTTTCAGAAGACGAAAAGGTGGGTCTATTTCCAATACTTGTAGATATTGTGTACACTTGCACAAACTTAATATAACTCTTGTACAACAGATGGGGTAGGGTATGATACCATTCACGCTTAGATTCTTAGCGAATTTTTAGAGAAAGCTTGATGAATATTTAAAAAATTTTTTTCCTGGTAACTTCAGTTTTTGTCTATCGTATACGTGTCTATAGACGAGTCAAGTTCTATTTTTCAACTCTCTAGTTCAAGTGATTCTCTGATTAACTTACTTTCTCAGTACGAGTTATATGTTATTAGTATCACGAAACAGAGAGAACAGAGCTATAAGAATGCTATAGTCGGATAAGAATGGCTATTAGATACTCTAAACTACTTCACCTAAAGCAATTATACATTTTTTCATTTTTCATTTTTTTAATATTACACCAAAACCGTGCATTACGAAAGCTCTCCTGTTGAAGGATTATCAAAACGTCAACTAACGTTGCCCATGGTACTTGTCAAGGATTTTATAATTTTCTAGTTGCCCTTCCTTCCGTCATAGCAAACCACAAATTAGGCATTGTTTCTAAAGAAGGGACTACTTTCACGAGAGTCTGTATATTCGGTGCGGTCTAAAGAATGAACCTATGTGATTCAAATCGACTATGCTTAACTTACTAAGTCCTAAGTTTCATCATAGTTTCATTAACAATTAGTCCTTTTTGACATATAGAGGTTTATTTTTCCTTTGAACGAGTTGCGATCCAAAATATTTTTCTATGTGGTCTAAATTGTGTAGGATTAACTTTTATATAAAATAAGTAGTAACATTATATTAGGGCAAGGCCAACCATGAATACCCTACATAACATTATCATACACAATTGTTGTTTTTACAAGAATTATATCTTATTTCTATCTAAAGGCACATTGTTCATCTATGTATTTATGGAGAAGCAGGCTCAAAACGCGACCTAATGTAGTACAAGTTTAATCCTTACATAGGACAGAATCTAAAAATAGGCAGGCATAGATGGTCCAAATTTTCATTCATTTTTGTATAAAATTACTACTATGGGTTAATTTTCATCACCCGATATTAAAACTGACTTTTCTCCTCTCCAAAGTATCAATTTTCATGAAAATCCTTATTAGGGTAGGATCCAAAAAAATTGGCTGAGATAGTCCAAATTTGCTGCACTTAATTTTTTTATGTCAGATTAATATTATCATATAATTTTCATAATGAAGCATTGAAAATTGTACCTTTTTGTCCTACGAACTTCGGTTTTCGTTATATGGGAGGAGGTTCAAAAATTTCCCCAGCCGATTTAAAGTTTTCATACCTATTTAGAATGCCCAAATATTACTACTTAGACACCTTTGCTGAGAAATTTTGAAAATTAAAATTTTTTTCCACATAACGTCTTTTTAGAATATACGGGGAGTAGTCGAAAAAGTGATCCGATCCGAATCATTTTTAGCAGCGTGTGTCCTTGAACGAAAACACGATAATCGGACGGACAGACAGACAAGTTTAGATTAATTTTAAATCGATCGGTATAACAAAAGATGGCCCCTTTCTAAGTGTCAGATACGTCCGTGTAACCTTAATATATACTGCCCCACAAGTTTCTTGGGTTGAAAAAGTCAAGCATGGATCAAACGTTTTCAACACTTTCTTAAGCAGTACATGCTTTATAAGCATATTTTGAAGTTTTTGAAGTTGAAATGAGTTAGTTTGGTGCGCATGGTATTTCCAGATACTTTTGTTGTGGAAATTTTCAACTTTAAAATTCGTCAACTTCCTAATAGTCGATTAAACCAAAAGTTATATCAAACTTTCCCATAATAGTAGTAGGATGTGGTCCTGCAGGGGCTGGTCATTTAAGTAAAACGATATGAATGACAAAATAACATAGTAACGACGCGAACTGGGGCTTGATCTTTTTCATCGAATCAAGACCTGAGCTGTAAACATGACCTTGTTATGATAGTCTAAGAGTAGCGGGAATTTAAGCCCCGTTTAATTTCGAGCAACATGGAATTAGATAAGATATAGAAGAGATACCTTCATGGGCTGTCCCTCCAATGAAGTTAAATTAAATAACTAAAGCAAGTTTTCGATGGTTCGAAGAAGGTTCATTTAGGCTTCTCAAGTAAAATTCCTTCAAATTGCCAAACAAATTTGAATATATTTAGCATAATATCGCGTTCTTACTCCACCAAAATAATTCATGTGTCCTCTCATAAACAAAGTCAAATCCTAGTGTTCCCTAGATCGAAGGGAATTTTTATTATATTAAATAGAGGTATTGTTGAAAATGTGTCAAAGCTTTTCCTACAACCTAACAGTACATTACGTATAAATAACATCAGATTGCATACTTACCACTACATAACGTAGGGCTCCGAGTTCATGTGATATATCCGCCATCTTACTAAACCTTTTCAATTATTATTTCAAATAAAACAAACGAAATCACGGATTAAATGCAATAATCTGTTTGTTATTTTTAATTAAACTTTAGCACCAAGTCTTTTGTTTATTTAAAAACCAAAAAATTTTTATTTAATTTTTGCTTCGAAATTTCCTTTTTAGCGCTGAAATGATCAGGAGTTCAGTTATGCTCCTGATGTTTTGCGAATAAATAATTAAAAAATAAATTTTTGTCACAAAATTATTTCTTTCTCACTGCTCTTAGTTCTTTTTTTTTTTTTTTGTTATTTTCTTCTCTTTCCTTAGCTTCTCAAGGTTTTAAATTGAAATGTCGCAAATATTCTTAAAGCTGTTGCTTTTAATAAAAACTATTTTATATAAAAGAATTTTTTATTCTCATATACATATATTTATATACACATATAAATATATATATATAAACATACACACTGATATATTTATATAAAAAACATATGCGTGAAAAGTTCATTCACTATAATTATACATTTGTTGTTGGAAAACAATGCTGACGATGGGACCGAATTATTCCCACCAAGTATTCAATACAAGTGCTTTCTTTAGCTACGATTATATTTCATTACCGTTCGCGACAGCACGTAATGTGGAAAAATGTGTTTTTTATATCTTTGTTTTTTTCTTTTTTCTTTTTTTTTTTTCTTATTATTTTATTATTTTGGTTTTTTTTTTTTAATTTCCTCAAAGTTTAGCACTTTTCGTTTGGATGAGTTATCCGCAAGTGAGCATTTCATTTATGGTCTAAGGCGATTTTATATGAATTACTTACACTGTAAGCATAGCACAGAAAGCCTAAAGAAAATTTCAAATTTTCTCACCCACACTTATAATTACATATGCATGTATTATTATTATTATTATTATTATTATTATTATTCTTAAACTTTTTTCCTTTATTTAGTGTATTAGCTTTGTTAGGCTTTCTCTTTAGTTAACACACAAGTCCAAGTACCATTGAATATATATTGTATGTACATTGGTTTGCTTGCCTATTGTTAAGCTCTTTGCTTCGGCGCCCTTGGGTATGTAGTGCATAAAATTTAAATATATATCCACTCAGGGAAAACATAAAGAGAGTGCGAAAATTTTGTTTTTGTTTTCTTTCTTTGTTTTTGGGTTTTTCTTTTTTTTTAGGTAAAAAATCAAAAAAAATCAAAAAAAAAGAAGGGAAATATTTATTTGGCTTAAAGCGTATCTCGAATACACAACAATGTCTTACGCATTCAATTGCTTCTCAACTCTTAATTGCATTTTTCTTTGCCCTCTTTTGCTAAGCAAATTAAACGTATGAGTAATATTAAGTTGAATGGAAAAATTTGCCATTAATTTCTCTAATAAAATGTTTTGATGCAAAAGTCTTAAATGCATATGCATCGATGCGAAATTATCTAAAAGAAAGAGTTTATTAATATTTATCATGGATGGATTCGAGTGGACTTGTTTTAATTGTAATGCTTATTACAGTCTTCGTTAGCTATCTTGTAACATTTCTTTGACTTAGACTTCAACGACCATACCATGGAAGAGGGTTAGCAAATTATCTCATTTTTCAATCAAAATTCACTTTCACTTTTGTTAAGAGAACAATTGAACAAATATTACACCGGCCCACATTGGCGGGAACATTTCTACTCTGATAGGCGTGAAACAATTTTCTTCAAATTTAATGCTATTCGCAGGCATTAGTTATTTTTGCAATCAATCAGTTTGTAGTGTGCTTTTAAGGCGATTTGAAAGAACAGAACATTCTTTGCAAGTTGTAGCCAACTATACAATAATTTTATTCTGAACGAAGTTCGGAAAGCACCATCTTTAGTGCGAATTTCACTGTACTTCAAGTTTAAAAGCTGCTCCTGAATCGCATGTATTCGTTTAAGGTTAACGTTGCTGTAAGTTACCTAACCAAAGTCCAAGCTTTATCATCGCATTATTCGTTCGGATTACTCGTTCTATATAATGTCCCTTTGTAATTAACCTTGAATCCAAAATCGCTTTCACCAAGTGCCGTAATGCCTTTGAATGTTCTTGAGTGGTTTATTCTTGAGCAATTTCTGAGATTAAACGAATCAAGTTTGCACGTTGTGGAACATACGCGAACCTTTAATCTTAGTTCGCAATATGTATTGCGAATAGATCGGATACCGTTGAGTCTTACTCACAGGACTTCTCCTCTATTAAATCTCAACTGATGCCTTTAAGTTTTCGAAAATAGTCCGCGTTTTGTAGAGTATTCGCCAGCTTTGGTACCAGTTCAACGATGAAATACCATTTCAAATATGTCTAACAATTCGCAAAAAGTCATTTGTCTTACATCTTGATGCGACGAAGTTAGTACGCAAAAAGCTTATAGAAATTGCTCTACTTGTTACAGAAATATGTTTCTCATTTTCTCAATTAATTTTCTCCTTAATATACGTACACTATCACTAGCGAAATGAAATTCGAGAGAAAGCATCGGAGACTATATAAATGATACATACAAATATTTGATTGGTTCAAGTTCGACCATTGCCTTCTAATCATTACATATTCACACGGCTTCCATCCAAGTGTTATTTTACAATCTCGAAGGCTGTTTTCATCATGTCTAGTTAGATTTGCTTGCTTTCCGCGACGAAAATTGTTTTGTAGACTATTCAGCTAAGGTTATTGCATTTCTCGCAAGTACTTTTCTTATAGCTCTCTGACCCGGTTAGGTTTCAAAATTATTGAAAATATTAGGAACCGATTTCAATTAAATAAAAAAAAAAAAAAAGGAAAAAAAAAGATGTTTCTCACTGCTTCTCCTCTCACTCTTAGCCGTAACATTTGGAAGGTTCCAATATAGGCCACAACCAGCTTAAGCATCGTCAAGGACTGTGCTTCCAAAGGTGCACGCAAAAGATTAGCAAATACAACTTTTTGCTATAATTTAAAATAAAAGCTACAGTCAGATAACTACTTTTGCAGCCACTGCATCTAATCCAGCTCTTTAACAATTCTCAGGACGAAATATCAAAAACTAGACTTTAACGGCATATAAAGACTTAGTTGACGTAAGGATTCTTTTATGGCCTTGGATCAACTCAATTACTATGTAAGAAAGTTTATATGGGAGACTATAAAGAAATTGTCTCATTCATATTTTTCATATCGATCTTTATCAAGCATATTAAGAAAAGCGAAAATGTTTTTACCCCATTGGTTTTCAATAGCGATCCTCCTTGAATCAAATTCTGTCCATGCATCATAGTTCATCGAAATTTTTTGGAGTTGAACACAAACGTTATTGACAGACATAAGGCGGACAGTGAAACTTAGATCAATGAATCAATCCGTGAAAATGTAGAGAACGATTCGGAATAGATCGATATCGTGATAAGTGGATGCACCTGAGGCCCTTCTCAGTGTCACATAGATTCGAACAAATTTAATATGCCTTTATTATAAGTAGTGCAGGATAGAATAACGCGGTAGCGAAGGGTTTTTTTTTTCTTTTTTTTTTCTTGTTCATTTCAAATATGGTTTCATGATATTTTTATTCAAAAATGATTTCGTGTGAAAGAATGTCTTCGGATGTTTTTAAAAAATTCCATTCTAAAATGCCAGTTTTGAGTTAAGCCAACGCTTATTTCGCCAATGACATAAGTAATATTGCCCCGTGGTCTGGTTGTGATTTCTCTGACTAAATAATAATAATTTAAAATATGCAGGAAAGAAAAGGAAAAGAGTACGATGCGTTTATATCGAATGATTATGGTGGCTGTTTAGATACTCATTTTGAGGATTGCACGATTATTGATCATATAAAGATTTTGGAAAATGTGAAAAATCGTTTAATAGGCATATTTTCAATTTGCAACCGGTTGCTTTTTTGCCTCAAAAAGAGGTTGCCAACAAGGGATCAAGGGTAGGTGCCTTTTTTTCATGTCTCATTTATATATATATATATATATTTTTTTTTTAAATTTTGTTGTTGTTGTGAAAATTCTTTTAAATTAGTTCAAGAGATGGTCACAAAACCAAAGAAACAAAAAATGCATGTGTATTAGTGTCAATATTAGTCAATATATTTTTAAATTGACTGAAATGCAAACTTTTCAAATATCTCGCAGGACGTGGTCCACTTTCAAAATAAACGGCTCATACGGCGATAAAGATTAATTTTTGTGCGAAAATAAGTGAACCTTGCGAATTCACTTTAGCCCACCTTATTCCAATGTCCATTACTTGGCAGCAAAGTATAATTTTTTTTTTTTATTTTACCAAATTTGTGTTAGGCAATGAAGATGTAAGGTATTGAATAGTTGGCGTTGTTTTTTTCTTTTTTTTTTTTTTTAATACAACTTATTCAGCAACTTATCAACATCTTTTAAGCCATAATTTTGTAAAGGTCAACAATTCATAAGGTTGTTAATATTTTGCTGACTATACCCACCACTAAAGGATGAGGGATATATTATTCAATTTGTCAGAATATTTTTAACAATCCGGAGGAAAAGATAAGTATAAAATTTTGAATTCATTTAAAGCAATTTGTCCGTCCATTTGTCGATTTTCCTATCCATCCGTTTATTTGCCTGTGGTGAACGTATCCTCTAGGACGTAAAAATGAAGATATCGGCTTCAAATTCGCCACAAATATTGAAAATTGTTCCGCGTAGATTCATGTTGAAAATGAAATTAATCGGTAAAAAGGCACACCCATAATTAAAAAGTTAAATGAAACAAACATAATTGAATTTTTTACTCGTTACTTATACGCGATAGCTAAGACAAAAAAATCGGCACGTTTATAAATAATTCTTCAGCAGCTGCACAAAAACGGAAAGGCTGGAAGGACCACGCCTATCTAATATTATAAATTTCATTCCCTTATCAAAATATTTGTCATATTTGAAAGAAAGTTTACAGTCTCTTCAATATACATATATATATATTGATTTAATCTAGTCATGTTTGTCCATCTGTCCAATCATTGGCATGTGGTTAACATCCTTTGATGGATGCAAAACAGAAGATATCTGCTTCAAATTCAGCAAGAGGACTAAGTTGGCCAAAAATACTG